GTTTATTTTTATTTTTTTCTTTTATTTTGGCCTGTTTGATGTATGTGTGAAATGATGTTGTCCAACAATAAACCGGAATTTTATTTTGCTGAGTTGTCCTAACACGGCTGCCTCCCAACTGCTGCTTTTTGTTTTTCGTTTTCATTTGTGTTACTCCTTTCGTTTTCTTTTTCTCCCTTTTCGTTCTGTCCTTTAGTTCTTTGCTTTGGAGTGGGGCTGGGGAGAGCGTGAGAGAGGAGAGAGGTGGGGAGGGGGGCTGTGAGTCGAGGTTGGCTGTAGCAGAGTGCTGTTCTTGGGGCAGGGAGAAGGTGGAGTGGGTTCCCAGCTGGGCTGCTGCCTTCTGGGTCAGGATGGCTGGATGTTGTGCATGATGGTGCTGCTGCGGATGGAGAAAACACTCGAACAGCTCATGATCTGCTCTGGCTGCCTTGTAGTTCTGTGGCAGTGCTTCATCCTTCTTATGGGGAGTGGGCGGGGGCTGCATGGAGGGGGGCTGGTGGCTGGCCTCGCATCCGAGGGATGCAGTGCTGACGGTAGGAGGTGGTGCATGGGCTGTGTGACTGCTCTAACCCAACTGAACCCCAAGTGCTCTAGCCTGTGCCTCTTGCTTTGCCCCTAACCTGACTGACTGCTGCCTCCTCCAGGCTGCTGGAGCTGAGCTGTGCCTCTGGGGATTTCCCATCCTCAGCTGGATGAGTCTGCTTCCCCTGCTGGGCTGCTTTGGCCCTGGGTTCGGCACTGAGATGCTCATTTTCATTCTTAAAAAACAGCCCTGAGAACTGCATTGAGTCTGTGGTGGAGCTCAGGAGCGGCCTGGCTGCTCACTCTGTGTTTACATCAGTGCCAAATAAGCTCAGTCTCCTCCCTTAGCACTAACGATGGTGATTAACCGTGCTGTTGGCACAGCAGGTTTAGCACCGTGACTCTCAGACCGCGTCCCGCTGCGTGCAACCTGCCTGGGTGTGGGGTGCAGGGCTGTGCCGTGTCCCACAAGGGCTGTGGCAGCGCAGGAGCAGCGGCTGCGTGTCACTGGGCGATGCACTGTGCAGCCCTGCCCTGTGCGTGCTCACAGCGGGCGCCGGCTGCTTTGCAAAGCAAATTATTCAAACGGTGCCTGCAGCAGAGGAGCTGCTGGGAGCAGGATCCACATCGCCGTGGTGGTGCTGCAGCCCTGCTCTGCACCCAGAAGCTGAGAATGGGCCCAGCCCGGGGCAGTAATGGTGCAGACCCACGGGCCTGCTGTACTTCCACCTTTGCTCCTAGCACAGGTGCAGGGTGAGGCTTCAGGTCCTGCAGGGAGCCCATGCGTTTCTGCCCTCGGCCCTGCAGTCACGGCTGCGGCTGGCGGTCCCCATCTCAGAGCCCACTGGGCAGCACTGCTCCAGCTCCAGGCTGAGACCGGCCACAGCTCAGTGCGTGGTCACGGCAGGGAGACCCAGCTGCTTGACTGCAGCCAATCCTCGCTCACCTGCGCAGCCTAGCAGCCAATCGCACGCTGCCACCTGTCCTGCCTGTATCTATTGCCTCCAGCGTTCTTTCCACCAATGCCAATCGAGCAGCACCCAGCTCCGGCCAATCCCAGGCTGTTGCCTGCTGTGGCCCAACCAACCGCGTGCCACCACCTGTCCTTGCCTCCCATAGCAGCTGCCCACCAATCACGGGGGCTGCTGGCTGCTCCCAGCCAATCCGGTTCCATCATCGGTCAGCAGCCCCAGCCAATCGGGGCAGCCCTGCCCCACTGTGGGGTATAAAGCTGGAGGGCTCAGAGTGCCCTCAGTGGTGCGGCTGTTGCAGGGGTTGTGTTGTCAGTCCTGGCTGAAGGTGCCTCTGAGGTTGCTTGGGGTGGGCTGTGTGACAAGCTGACCCGCACAGCTCCATCTGGGCCTCATCTCCTGTGCTCACAATGCTCAGAGGAAACAAACCCAGGGTCCCAGTGTGCAAGGAGCAACGTGAGCCCTGCTGGATGTGGAGCGATCACAGGGTGCTGAAGACCGCACAGCTGGGGACGTGAGGATCGCTGCGTGTTGCCTGCTGTGAGCCTGTGAGGATGGCAGGGCTGTGGGGTGACTGACTGCACCACGGGCGGTGCTGCCATGGACTCTGTGAGCTCAAAGTCTGCAGGTTGGCCAGGTGGGACCTGCACCCTTCAGGGCCATCCCCAGCTGTGCCCATTGCAGGTCAGAGCCTGCTCTGTCTGCTCCTCCTGGGTGCCACTGTTCCGCCTCATCCAGACCTTTTGACCTCCTCTTGCTGCATCTTGAGAACCTCTGTGGAGCACCCGGGGGTTTGGCACAGAGCCCGTGGGATTGCAGAGCTTGGGCTGGATGGATGTGGGCTGAGGTCTGGTGCTGTCTGTGTCCAGGGCCAATGCATTACGGGCATCTGCTCTGGCTCGGATGAATGGGGCAGACTCCAGCATGACTTGCTCAAGGTCACCAAACCAGGCGGGGGTTTTGGGGGTGTTGCTGGCACACGTCAACATGCAGGGCTGTTCCTTCATGTTGCCTGGCCTGAGTGTGAGCTGCGCCTGTAAAGCAGCCCCTTGGAGGGGGCTGAAGTCTGGGGCTGTCTTTGGTCCTGGTCCATCCCAATTAGCAAAGATGTACCTTGAAAATGGCGTACAGGCAGGAGAGCCCAGCCCATGCTGAAGAGCCAGCAGAGCGGGTCTGGTCCCTGTCTCATCCTTGTGCCCTTCTGAGTGTGACAACCTTTCTCCTGCCCCCACTGTGGCCTCTTCCTGCCTGGCCACGATCCTTCAGCAACCCAGCAAGATGTGTTCCCCTGATGCTCCCCCTCCCGGTGCCCATAGCTGCTCCCCTGTGCTCAGCTGGAGCTGAGCTCATCCTCTCACACGTACAGGGAGTGCTGCGGCTCCCTGGGCTCTGTGTGCCCCCAGGAGAGTCATGGCCCCATTCCATGAGGCAAAGAGGTGGGCAGGGTGATGCCCTCATGCCCTAAGCAAGTGAGCTGGGTGCAGGGCTGGAGCATGTCCCTGAGGAGGACAACCCACAGCATGTGCTACCCCTGGAGAACCAAACCCTGCTGCAAATCCCCCTGTAGCCCCACGATGGGGGACAGCCGCTGTCCCAAGGCTGCTGTGCCGATGCCTGATGGGCTGCGATGGGCTCTGCTTCCATCCTGCCCAGCACAAGGGCAGAGTGTGGGGCACGTCCCTCCCCGGGGTGACCCATGGCCTACCCGGTGTGGATGGCAGTCCCTCTGCTGTCTGTCCCAGGCTCCTGACCGCAGTGCCACCCCAGTGCACGGTGAGGTACAGCCCTCGGCCACCAGCACTGTGTGAACATCGCACAGTCTGGGGAAATGCTGTTGTGTTTATTGCAGTGTTGCAGCACCATCTAGTGCTGCTGCCCGGGGAAGCCGGACACCCTGGAGCTCCCACGGAAATTACTGCAGCGCCGTGGGGACAGGGCATGCTGGATGGTGTCCCTTGGGTCACACTGGGGCTGTGCTGCTGAGGATGACACAATGGGAATCCGGGGTGTGGGCAGCTCTGTGCCAATGAGCTGAGGACCGGGACGGGTGAGTGCTTGGTATGGTCACGTCCTGCTGATGGAAGCACCAGAGCCACTGGCTTTTCCTGTTTAAATCCCACACCAGGCATCTTTAGCACCCTATGGGGTGTCTGCCGGCTAGGAGGGGACTTGGTGCCACTGGATGCCCCTGCTCTGCGCTTGGAGACCCCTGCAAGGGTGCTGGGATGCACAAGGGGTGCAGACATCCCCAGTGCCCGGGCAGAATCTTGCACCCTGCCCATGTGAGTGCTGAGCCCCAACATGGGTTGCGCCCAAGTCCTACCTGACCTCCAGCAGTTGGAGGCTTCCTTCAGGTGGAGTTTGGGCACACTGGGTTGAAAGCAAGGTCTTTGGCTGCTGAACTGCACCAAGTCACTTGACAGCCCCATGCCCAAACGATACAGAGTGTTGCTGGCTCTTCCCACAGACCACTCAGGAGCTGGATTTCACTGCCTTGAAAGAAGACAGAGCGACCCAAAAGCCTGTGCCAGCTGCCACAGAGGGTAAGAGTAGCAAAGCAAGCACTGAGCATAACACGGCCCTGGGCTGTTTGTGTGCCTTTTGTTCACCCATAACTCTCTGAATCAGACAATTAACCGCATCAGGGAGGCTCTGCTTGCCCATCCGTGCGTTATTGGGCAGGGCAGCTCTGCGGCAGAATGCCAGGAGCTGGAAGCCCTGAGGCAGCAGCTGGGCAGGCGGAACGCGTAGGGAAGGAGCCGGCCCCTCGCTCCGAACGCCTGGGTGCGGCGTGGGGAAGAGATCCCGACGAACAGCGGATCTGTGGGCAATTAACGGGCCGTAAGCCATACCCGTGCCGTTGTGGGTGCGACGACCCCAAAACCGAGCTGCCTGCAGCCCGGAGCCCGCCGTGCGTCGCTCTCCTCCCGCTGCCTTCGCCCTGCAGCCCTGCCACGTGGGGAGCCTTCTCTCCGGCACGTTCCCTGCCCCGCGGCACCCACAGCAACAACCGCCGTGTGCGTGCCGGAGGCCGGAAGGCTCTCGCCTCCTCCACGGGAGCTTTGGCAGCCAAACCAACCCCAGCTGCGAACAATGAGCCGAGGAAAGTCGGCGCCGGCGGCTGGCATTGCCCGCCTGGCGGCGGCTGCTGCTCCTGCTGAACCCGGCCGGTTCCCCCTCCAGGTTGGATGCTGATGGCTGCAGACAGCGCTGGGATGCTTGGGCTGCAGCTGGGTTTGAGCTGCGGAAGGGCTCTG